TTAATAGAAGCGTTATCGGTTTTGTTCGATTGAAGACCTTTATATGATAAAAGATAAAGCTTGAAATAGCACCAAATTAGTACATACGTATCTTTTAATCAATTTCAAATAAGATAATGATGTAAATATTATGAGCACGATTAGTGTCAATGCACTTTTAAACAAAATAAATAAAAAAAAATTGTCAACCAAAGCGCTATTAAATTTGGTATACACATAGAACATAGCCTGGAAATACACATAGGCTACTAATTAGGTTTTTTTAATTTCGCGGGCGCAGCTAGTTTGTATTAAAAAGATATCTTAAGATAAATCGAAATGTAATAATAAACAATGAACTTACTGCACAGCAAAGAGCATGAAGTCAGCAATATCCTCGACGTACCACTCTGGAGTGGCACGGAAGGCATCAGCCAGCGAGCCCGCGCTGGGCCCGTGCGGTGCGCGGGGTGCTCCGCCCTCCGTCGCACTGGGGGCTGCGCTCTCGCTGCCACTGCCCGCGTCGGGGCTCTCCAGGTTAGCGGGCGCCCGGTCCGCGGTCCTTGCAGCCTCTAACTGCTGAGTCAGCAGCACGCATACTGACGAGTAGAATTGCAAGCTGCGACGCATCAGTTCACAGTCCAGTAGCGCCGTCTCCGCACATTGTTTTGACCTGTTCGGTGTTGTGATGATTTATGATATATCGATATTTAAAAAAATATATATTTTCGGACAAGTTACATGCACATTAGTACTAAAACAAAACCCAAGACTTGTTATTAAAATAAAATAGTTCGCAGACATTGAACACCTTGATAAAGTTTAGATCTACTTTTAGCACTGCTTTCAGCGAATTTAACTTATGAATTATATTAACTCTTAAATTATACCAAAGTATGTGTGTAGCAAATAACAATGTTCATTTAAAGTTGACTTCACTACGACTAGTAGTATTTACCTCTGCAATCGTTTAATCTGTCGTCGCCATCGCCGCAACAGCTCGCGGTTGCGTAGCGCGGCGTACGTGTTCCGCCACTGAGGCTCCGCGCCCATTAACTCCTCTATAACCTTCTGCAGGTCGCGGAATGCTCTGCCGTAACATAAAAATAATGAGTATCTCCATAAGGAGATACTCATTATTCAAATATATATATTCGTATATATGTATAAACATATATACGAATATATATATTTGAATGCACTTAAACATGCAATCATAGTTCTTTTTCTGGTATGAATTACCGAAATATTTATATAAAATCATTGTCATATAGAAAGGGTTGTTAATGCTGGTTTGACAGCTCTATGTTCTCTTTGAAAATGCAGAGACAACATTACGTTCTTATACAGACATTCCGACAGTTTACTTATTGAGTAAAATATTTGGTATATTTAATTAAAAATGGAAAATTAGAAACAACATTTTTTTTTATATCACAAGGTAGCAAACGAGCGAGCGGCCACCTGAAATAGCTGAAATAGCGAAGTGATCGTTGCCCACAGACATATGCAATTGCATATGCGTTGCCTACCTTTAATCGACGGAGGAGAGGATGCACAGAAAGAAAACACTTTCCCTTTCCATGCATCCTCTCATCCGGAAAGTCCACTTCCACTTCCCATCATTTCCTTATAATAAAAAGGGTGGGAAGGGAAAGAGGACTGAATAAGGCCTCCGGCCTCCTCCAACATAAGCAATATCAATAAACAAGATACAAGTAAATCAAACTATGATAATATATTAATTCTAATTCAGTTAGAATGTATGCAGTTCCTTGATAAACAAGTCAAAGATCGTCTTGTGCATGACAATCAATTAGAGAAATATACCTATACATACATACTGTGAACACATGTGCGCGTAATATTAAATGGCTCGCAATAAATAAATGTGACGTAACAATTTCTGGCTAGAGATTTCTACGTATAAAATATTAACTGTAAACAACTATTTTTTTTATATTCGTATTAATATTTTGATATAATCTTGAATCTTAATAACTGATAACAAAAAGCACAGCCACTTTCATGACCCACCAGTCGTGGACTAGAATTTGCGATATTTTTTTTGATTCAAATAATTTTTTGTTTACAGCTCTATTTTTAACTGAATGTTTTTAACTTTTTCTTTAAAAAATTAAGCATCCTAATCAACAGTATAAAATAATACATAGTGTGAACAGTACCTTATGCGTCGCTGGTGAGTGTGCAGAGCTGGTATCAAAGCTACATGGTGCATATGCAGAGTCAGGAACCAGCAGACAGTCTGGAACTTCGCCTCGGGCCATTTGTGATTGGGGTCTTTGTCTGGAATTAAATCAAAATCAGTTTTCTATATTATTATTTGAATATTGAAGTATCATACGATGAGTTTTTATATTTAAATATTGTATGTCATATTTCCAAAATTAGAAGATACTCGCGTTGTACTGAAACAAAAACATCTTTTTTTTAAATAAGGGTTTGGACGTCGCGTATAAAAATGTGCGTGGACTTTAATTATTGAAGGAGTATGTGTTTTACTCTAACGGTAAAAAATAAGCAAATGCATAGACAAATTTAATAGTAGTTGCTAAAATTTATTTTCTGTAAATACAAAACACTGGAGGTATTTTCAAATTACACTAATGAAACAATTAACAAGTCAGTCTCAATTACCGATTTAAGTCGTTGCCACGTCGGTTGTTTTCTTAAATTAATTGCCAGTTGTGTTTATTGTTTCATTTGTTTGAGAAACTTGTTTAAATCATAATATACTCTTTGAATAAGAAAACATCGTAGCGAAAGTATACAACTTTAGGACATAAAAATTCCCAGTCTATCAATAAATTACATGGTGTGTTTTTTTTAATTGTCTACTTTTCTTTTTATTTTTGCCTGGTGACCCAATTGATATTTTCTTGGGTCTATGAAATTATTTTATGTACTAGATGCCACAAGGAGTCTTATAAATTCTTCTTTATTTGTGTAAAAAAATCTAAATCTTAATAAAAACATGACTGATTTTTGATACTAAAGTTAATTTGAATATCTTTAACCTTCCTGTACCCGCGCCAAATTTTTTAACACCTATACCCGCGCACGGTGTGACAGACCGTAACTTTGACTCCTATTACGTAGTTATTTTTCTATAAACCGTTTATATTTTTTTTATTTTACAGGAACTATAGGATGTAATAAAACAAAAAATACCAATT